TGCGAAGGCGCCATTGGTAATGCCTAGCGAGATCAAACACTCCATTGCCCAGAGCAAAGAATCAATCTCCGCGTGGAGCGGTGAGAGGCTCCTTCTCGAGCTCATTAAGCCAAACTGAAGAATACGGTCTTGGTCGACTAAAACCCAACCATGTCCACTTAGAGAGTCCTCCGAGTGCCAGGAAGCATCAATCTGACATTCCGAGATCTTGGGGAAGGACGCGGGAAGTAGAACCGACCGGGCAAGAGATTCAGGATCTGCTGCTTCTTTCATGTTTGCTTTCTTCCACACAGAGGCTTCTCGTAAAGCCAAAGCAAGAGTCTCCTGAGGAGGTTCTTTGAAGTTTTCAAAGCAAAATCTGTTACGACTTTTCCAGATATACCACAATATCCATGGAAAGAGTTCCAAAGTTTCCTCTTCTATTCCGAATTCTTTCCCACGCCAGAAAAGAAAGTCGAAATTATAGAAAAGGGAACTTCTGGGGAAAATGTGCCCTGAGGTGGGAATGGGTGATAAGGCCCAAATTTGCCTCGAAGGCGGACAATCAAAGAGAAGATGGTTTATGGATTCTTCCAGAGCCCCACAACGGGGACATCCTTAGCTTTCTCGTTGCCAATATGACGATAGCATAATCTCTGATAAGTGGCTAAACAGCCTGAAACACATTGCCACGCGAAATGCATAAGCTTTCGCGTAGTTTTTAACTTCCATACCTGTGCCTGAAGTGCCGAAACACCAGGTCCCTGAAAAGGGGGGTCACAGGTAGGACGAGATAACTCTCGCGCGGCCCAGTATCCTGATTTAACAGAATAGTTTCCGGATTTGGTGTGCGACCAGCTATAGCCATCACTTAAGTAGGTACGACTTGGCCGTATTCCTAAAATAAGTGGAATATCAGCGGGGTCAATCAACGCTTGAAGGCGGTCCAGCTTCCAAAGCTTTGTTGATTCATCAATCAGGTCGTTGACATAGAGAAGAGGGTCTCTTACATCAAGAAGACTCTTAGCAGCTCTCGCCGGGATAGTGGGAATCCACGGGTCCTCCCACACTTTAGTTAGCATTCCGGAGCCTATGGTTCTTCGGAGACCCGAGACAAGAAGAGGTTTGGCAGCCATTATACTTCTCCAGCCATAGGAGGGCCGATTCGAATTTCCTATGTGTAAGGGGTCGCTAAAACGATAATAACGTCCCCTTAAGACTCTACTTAAAAGAGAGTTAGGAAATTTAATAAGGCGCCATAATTGCTTAGCCAGTAGGGCTAGATTGAATTCCTCAAGCGTTCTAAAGCCGAGACCACCTTCAGAATAAGGTGTACAAAGTTTATCCCACGCTATCCAGTGGATACCATTGCTGTTCTCATTAGTTTTCCACCAAAAGTTTGCAATGGCACTGCTTAATTTTGAGCGAATCGCTTTGGGAAGTAGGAAACACGACATAATATATGTCGGAAGAGCTTGCGCAACAGACTTTATGAGGACTTCTTTGCCGCCTTTGGACAAGAACTTTGCGGACCAGGTATTGAGCCTTTTTTTAAGCCGATCTCTAACGAAGGAGAAGACTTGAACTTTTGAGCCGTGAATCTGTTCAGGAAGACCCAGATACGATCCCATACCCCCATCACGGTGAATTCCAATTGTCGCTTTAATGGTATTTCTGGTTGTGTTATCCACGTCATGACCAAACATTACCGAGGATTTAGCAGAATTTAGTTGTTGGCCTGAAGCCTCGCCATAGGTACGGAGAATCTTAATAATTTCACGACCTTGCGTCGGATCTGCTCTACAGAAGAACAAGCTATCATCGGCAAACCAAAGATGTGAGGTAGAGGGACTGGCACGGGAAATTTGAAGACCTTGAATGCGACCATGCCATTCGACATCCTTAAGCTTTGCCACCAATGCCTCTGTACATAAAATGAACAGGAAAGGGGAGATAGGATCACCTTGGCGAATGCCCCTAGATGGTCTGATAATCCCTCTAGGTGAGCCATTTATAAGAACTTTATACGAGACCGAGGAGATGCAAAAGATGATCCAATCTACCCATCGCTGAGCGAAGCCCATTTTCAGCATTAGGGCCCTAAGAAAAGACCATTCCACCCGGTCATAAGCTTTACTCATATCTGTCTTTATAGCCATGAATTTTTTCTTGCAAGCCGGGTTTGTGCGGAGGGCATGAAAATTTTCCTGGGCTATAAGAATATTATCGGTGATAAGTCGTCCAGCCACAAAGGCGGATTGAGTCTCGGATATAAGATCCGGAAGAAGTTTTTTAAGCCGAAGACTCAGAACCTTCGAGATGACTTTGTATCCAACGTTACACAGGCTGATTGGACGAAATTCCGTCATCTTCCTTGGTCTATCGGTCTTAGGGATCAGGCAAATATTAGTCTCGTTTAGGCAATTATCAAAGGATCCAGAAGAGTGGAAGTTTTGGACTAATTTAATTAGGTCTTGTCCAATCAGATCCCAGAACTTTTGGTAGAAAAAGGCCGTCATCCCGTCCGGACCCGGGGCTTTATCTCACTACAAGAAAACAAGCCGTTTGCGACTCCCATAATAGTCGGAAAACAGTCACAAATCACTTGTTTGCGACTATTGTCCGACTAATTAAATGGGTCGCTAAAAAACGGTCGCTAAATAAAACAGTCGCAACATAGTCACTTATTTGCGACTACTTTCTTACCGCACTATATAGTTGTAAATAAGCGACTAATTTGTGACTTGTATATGTTGTTGCATATTCCCGACTAAAATGCAACTGAGTTTGATTAGAGACAGATTTGTGACTAAGATTTGTAAGGTGAAAAAAAAATAGTAGTCCCAATTTAGTCTCGTATTAGCAAAGATTCTGCCACCAGTGTAATTTGGTTTAGTCACAAAATGGTCATAACTTTGTGGTTTGTCGAGTAACAATTTGTTTTGCAATCATAAACCTAATTCAATTTCGAATTGAAAAGCAGTAATCAAACAGAAATCAGATTAACAACTGAGTAATCAAATAACCATCCTAATTAAACAAGATAATCCTAGTTTTAACCAAAATATTAGCATCCTAATAAAACAGGTTTCATCCAACTTACAAAAGACACAATTAAGAGAACAAGTTCATAGGTTAGAAGAAGTGTCTTCTGGGGTGCCTGCTGCGTCTGGGATGGCTGCAGCTGCAGCTTTTGTAGTTGGTAGAGTGCCTGCAGCTGTTGTAGTTTCTTGGATGGGTGGTTGAGGTTGTGTAGAAGCAGAAGACAAAAAAGTTGCCAACTCAGGATCCTTATCTTTGATGAAGACGAGGAGCTTCTCCAAGCGAGATTGAGATTGGCGGTGCTCCTCATCACGTTTTGCATTTTCAGCCTCGTGTTCAGATATCTTGCGCCGCAGCTGATCTTGAAGCTCCACAATGGTTGCTGTAGAAGAGCTCGCATAACTCTCTTTCCTTTTTCCTTTGTTCAGTGTCTCCACAAGCGATCCAAGACCATAAGGGGTACCTTTGTCATCTTTATGAGTACACTAAAACAAAATCCAAAGAATCAGTGAACAAGAACAAGAAGGATGTCCAACAAAACGAAATCAATTACCTTAAGAAAGATCTCATTCTTTTCATCAATGCTGAGCATACGGTCAGTGGAATGTTCAGAGGAATTAGCAGAATTCTGAGGACCCTCCTCGTCCAATTCAGACATCCTGTCTTCAATGCCCTTCGCATACGCCTCAGCAACTTCTTTAGCTTTTTGATCCACAAATGATCCATCAGCCCTTGTATGTGTTTTCATAAACACTTCGCCAAGTGATACAGGACGCTTGAGCTCTTCCTCCTACAATTAAACTCAAGCAGATTTAAATCATGGAAGCAATATTAGAAAATCAGAGAAATGATTTGTTTGGATGGAAAGAGGACTCTTACCATTTCTTGATGAACTTGCACAAAAGATTTCTGACCGGCTAAGTGTTTGTGCACTCCAAGACCTCCACGATCAGAGTTTCTGCACTGTGAAGCATTCTCACTCCTCTCAATAGCATCCTCAGTCTTCCAATACACCCACATCTCAGCCCAAAGTGTATCACGGATCCACGGTGGTTGTACATCACTCTGCTTTGCTTGACTGACAATCCCTTTCATCCGTTTCTTGGCTATCACCAAGAATCCTTCTCTAACAAGCTCAGTAATCCCGACATCCCAATTATACTTCCGCTACATAACAAGCACTTAAGTTAGCAAAGTTACTAAGTCATATATATTAAACAATAACAGAATGTAAGGTATATATGACATTACCGCAAAACTTCTGAAGTATCTCTCTCGAATGGGTATTGGAGTAACCTTCCAACTGAAGTAAGGCCCATCAAACTTCCTCCGGAAGATTCCAGCAATCACTCTAGACAGCTTCCCTTTGTGCCGGTTAAACCTGTAACGAAAGTACATTTCACTTTAGTTATGCACTAAGACACTGTGAAAAATAACTCCTAATTCTATTCATTTCTTGAAATCACAGAATTTATTTGATGCAATAACCAACAGATACTGAGCAAGAATGAAATATGTTTGATTAACAGCAGAATCAACTATGACAAGTCTCTAAACTTCAAGTTGAATTACCAAACAAAGCTTTAGTCGTAAATGAACAAGAACCATGAGTCTATCAATGAACAATAAGTTGGTCCAACACAGAGATAACATAGATTCTCAAAACAAACACGGAAAACAAACCAAAATGTTTAACAAACACTAAGCTTTCTACTACAGGACATGACTACATGATTTGCAAATGCTTTTAAAAAAACACAAATGCTCACAAACAATCACAAAATCAGATGATCAATCAAAAACACATATGCTCACAAAAAAATCACAAAATCACAAGGAGAAAAGGAAAGAGATTACCAGAGAGTCTCAACTCCAGGGATCGGGTTCTGAGACAGAAGTGGAAGATGTTGTCGGCCTGGAAGGACTAGCAAACGATCCAACATTTCTTGGTAGTCGACATTTTGATCTCCATTTTGTTCTTAAGGCTCTTCGTCTACTTCTTCCTCATAATCGTCTTCATCATTAAGGTTTAGCTCTGGTGGTATGACCTGTTGCTCCTCTGGATCCTGACGAGGAGGAGGCTGTGGTAGACGCGGAGGAGGCTGCTGTTGACGAGAAGAAGAAGGCTGATGTTGACGAGGAGGCGGCTGCTGTTGACGAGAAGATGAAGGCTGCTGTTGACGAGAAGAAGAAGGTTGTTGTTGACGCCCAAGAGGTTGTTTTCGACGAGCAGGAGGTGGTTGTTGAGAGCCAGCCGGCGGTGGTTGTTGAGAGCCAGCCCGTGGTGTTTGTTGAGAGCCACCCGGCGCTGTTTGTTGAGACCCACCCGACGGTGCTTGTTGAGAGACAGCAGGTGATGTTTGAAGAGCAGGAGTCGAGGGTACTTGTGTCGCCGGCGGATATTGGGAAGGACGACTTACAGACTGTGTCGCCGAACTTGGGTTCGACGAGTGAGAAGAGGTTCCGACGCCACTGGGGATGAGTTTAGGATTCTGACCATGGTAGACTCTGGCACCACGGTTATTTGTCGATTTGCCTCCGCGACCTCTCGCTGACTTGCCTTTGGTAGGAGCCATTAGAAAGAAACGAAAGAGGGATTCAAAAGAGAAAGAACCGGATTAGGGATTCGAAAGAGAAAGAGACAAAATAGGAATTTGAAAGAGAAAGAATCGGATTAGGGATTCGAATGAGAATGAAGCGAAAGAGAAGAAGAGAAGGAATCGATTCAGGGAGAGAGAGAGATTGAAACCCTAGATCGAGAGAGAAGAAGAAGAATCGCAGAGTTGGAGTGAAGAAACCCTAGATCGAGAGAGAAAGAAGATCGAGAGAGAAGGAAGAAAGTGAAAAGTCGAGTGTGTATTTTGCCTAGTAATTAACGAAAAGGAGTCGCTCTTTAGTCGCAAAACAATTGCAACATCAATTATTTGGGGGGGAAAATTAAGCGCCCAAATACTTAGGGAAAATTTCATAAGATTTAACAAAAGTTGCAAAACAGTTGCAATATTAGTCGGCAAATAGTCACAAAACATGTCGTAATTTAGTCACAATATTTGAACAGTCACGAAAATGTCACAAACTAGTCGCAAACTGTGACTAAGTTGAGACAGACAATAAAAAGTCACAATACAAAAAATTCAAAATCTATGGATTTGATTCACTCTATTGATAGAAATCACTCATAAACACTCACTTTAGTAGCATAGAATACATGTACAAGTGTTAGGTTGGTCAAACCTGGCTTTCTCAACATATTTTATAAATTTTACAAAATTTCATATCATGTTCATAAAGTAACATGATGAGTTCATATGGATTTAGAACTTTTGAATGTTTGGATTGTAAACATTGAATTTCAAGAGGTTGGTTGAGTTTTTTTTTACTAATTTCAATAAAATCAAAGTAGTAACATATAAGAAAACATGTAAACAAACTTCAATTTACAAATTTCGAATTGAAAATATCGAGCGTTGGTAATCTGTAGCAAAATAGTCGCTAATCTCAGGTGCTAGACGCCAAAGGGTCACAAAATAGTTATCAAAATTTCTTAAAATATAACAAACATCGCAAACGTCGCAAAATAGTCGCTAATCTCAGGTGCTAGACGCAAAAGGGTCACAACATCAGTCGTACAATGGTCACACAATATGTCGGATTATGGTCACAAACCTCAAATCTGATATTTCGAATGTTTAATATCGAGAGTTGGTAATATGTAGCAAAGTGGTCACTAAATCTCAGATAAATGTGATCGATTATCTTTGTTCGTCGCAAATATGTTGCAATTTTGCGACCGTTTTGTGACCTTTAGTCAAATTGTAAAAAAAAAGAGTTCTATAGATAACAAGTCGCTAAGTGGTCTCAAAGTGCGACCGTTTTGCGACCTAAAATATTGAATTGGTAAACGGTCGGATAGTAGTGGCTTAATTGAGACATTTGTCCGACTACTTATTTCCGTCGCTAATAAGCGACTAGTTTCCATCTGTTTTGTTTGTAGTTGTTTAACAGTCGCAAAACAGACACAAAGTAGTCGCGAGTTTTTGCGACCATAAAAATAGTCACAACAAAGAGTCCCAAATTGCAGGTTTTCTTGTAGTGTCTGGATGAAGAGAGAAAAGGGCTTTTTTAACTTCCTCCGGTGAAATCTCTCTAGTAAGCTTTTGATTCATATCCTCCGAGATCATATTTGGCACATCCTGAAGAACAGAATGGAATTCTTGTGGGTCAGAGGTGGTAAACAGGTCCTTGAAATAATCTACCGCTAAGTGCTCAATACCCACTTCCTTGTCGACCCATATACCATCATTATTCAGAAGGCCCAAAATTTTATTTCGGGCACGTCGCTGCTTGGTGATAGCGTGGAAAAATTTTGTGTTCTTGTCCCCTGCTTGATACCACGTTTCTCTACTCTTCATTTTCCAAAAAATCTCTTCTTCTCGATAAGCGTCGCAGAGTCTCCATTTTAAACCAAGAAGTTCTTCGGCGGAGATGGATTCATCTTCTTGCGCGCTATCGATTTTATCTTGTAATTCCTTAATCAATTTTTCCGAGTTAGTAGAATTAGATTTTTTCCATTTAGAAATGGATCGTCTGCAATTCTTAATTCGTTGTGTAAAAAGACCTCCTTCAAGCGAAGGGAAATTCCAGCCTTCGACAACCGATTCCTTAAACCCCGGTTTACCTAGCCACCGTTTATCAAAAAAGAATTGCTTAAAGGCTCGGGGCGGACTATTCTGAATTGAAGCTAGGAGGGGTCTATGATCAGAGCCCCATAATTTTAAATACTCCACATTTGTGTGGGAGAAAATTGTGTGCCAGTCTTCATTACCCAAAGCTCTATCTAACCGCGATTTGATAAGACGACGAACTCTCCGACCCGTAACTCCACAACTACGACGTCCCACCCAGGAGAACAAGTTTCCCTGAGATGGAACCTCGATCATTCCACAATTTTCAATCATACAACGGAAAGGAAGGAACGACGATTCAGACCTACGTTTACCGCCTCTCTTCTCATGATTTCCGGTAATTTCGTTAAAATCACCGATCATAAACCATGGATCAGAACGAGTAATACCAATACGCGTCAAGCGTTCCCAAACTAATTCTCGGTATTGAACTACCGGATCTCCATAGACAAATGTAATAAAAACACGGTTTCTATCAATAATAGTCTCAATATCGATCAGCCGATCACTAACAAAAACAAACTTAACCGGATAATCTTTTGAATACATAAGAGCAAGACCACTACTGTTACCGTTAGGTTCAACAGTTTGAAGGGAGTCAAAACCTAAAGAGACTTGCATATTTTGAAGATGCATATCCAAGTCTCTTTAGGTCTTGAAGGGAGTCAAAACCTTAATAAAACCATTAATTATTATAAATATCTAACTAAAAGATAAAACAGTGTAATATATATGAGCTGTTCACTTCACATGGCATACCCCACACACACATTCCTACCCCCCCCCCCCCATACCTGTAGAAAGCGACATTATCTCGTCTAGAAAATGAAACTTTTATTTTATTGAAATCTCAAAATAGTGAAATTTCCAATTGTACTAATAATAATCAAATATATGTTTATGCTTTGTAAAACATTACTTAATTCGGTAAGCTCTCTTTTATTGTGTTATGCCAAGAAACCAAGTGTTGCTTGTCGAGTGATGAAAAAGACTTAATTATTATATAGTGGAAGACTGGAAATTGAACTTTGCCCTCTAATTTGAGATCTTTGGAACGAAGAATCCACGTTTGGCCTTCCTATCAAGGCGGCTTACATAAAATCTGATTATTTTACAGATCTCTCATCATGTATCAGAAATGAATATGTCCTTGCTTATACTTTGTTAAAAAATAAAAATAATAATGTAAGACTTTGACATGAATATATACCGTCTGAAAAGATAAATAAATCTTAATAATGGTAAGTAAACGTTTTGGTAAAGATTTCACGTAAAATAATCTTTACGTGATTTGTAAAATAATCAGATTTTATGTAAGCCGCCTTGATAGAATAGAGAAACCAAAATGGCGGTTCTTATGATCAGCTGCATTTATAGAATCAACACCTTTCTCTGCCCGTGAAAGTGAAAAACAACAGTACAACACCTACTTATAAGTTCGGCTCCTAGAGGTAAAGAACTATTTATAAACATCTAACTAAAAGATAAAACAGTGTAATGTATTATATAATATAATAATTCGGTCTATTATTAATATACAAAGGTAGATACTAGGTAAGAAAAAATGACAAATTTAAAATTATGACCAGAAATATAATATTATATAAGATAAGGAATAATTCTTTAATATTTAAAGATTCGATCATTTGAAGAGATTTCAGCATATAAATCCAAATACATATTTGAAAAAAGAGATTCATATCTATTTCATAAATAAGTTTCTACAAACAGTAATTAATTAGACTTGCGAGAAGAAATAAAGTAACCGGCAATACTTTCGAAGTAAGAAAAAAGGAAATACAAATCATTTTAAAATCTGAGATCGTAAAAAAAAAGTAATTAAAAAATGAGAACTCGAAATAGATGATTACATTGATCGTTATTTTAAAGAATAAAATATTTTAAAGAATCGTTGCTAAAAAATAAAATAAATATATATATGATCTTGCATGTGATCCACTTGTCCATATAAAAAAAGAACTTGTTGTTCGACCTTTACTTTGCATGTGATCCGCTTGTCCATATAAGAAAAAGAAGAAAAAAAGAAAATTTAGACGAAGAAATTTTAGTAATGGTAAATAAATGTTTAGGTAAAGATTTTATGTGTGACATCCGAGAATTTATCTAAAAGTGATTTTTTAACAGTATACACATTCGGGAAACAGTTGACTCCCCCTCCACGTAATAATCGGGTGAAAGTGTTAATTATTGACGCATACGTTTATGATTGACTCCAAAATCCGCTTGGTAATAATGAGCTAGATTTTTCAAATCCTCCACAAAAATAAGAGAGAATATTACTCTTTCCATAAATACAAACGAGAATACCATTTTGTAAGATGTTTGAAAAAAAGAGAATATTTACTTTTGTAAAGAAAGAAAGATATTTTTAATAATGGTAACTAAAAATAAAATATCCGAGGTGACCAAAAAAAAAAAAAAGAATAAAATATCCGGTAAATATGCGTGACATCCGGAAATTAACCTAATTGTTTATAGTACTTGACCTAATCCCTCACCCGTCTTTTTTATAAACCTCCACTTCCTCTCTCATTTTCAATTTCATTATTAAGCCTTCCTCTACACTGTTCTTATTTTTTCTCGTTCTTACTACTTCTTTACAAAAGTCCTGATCTATTATCATCCCTTTTCGTTCTTATTATGTTTTATGAAATATTTTTCTTAAAGCTTTTTTTTTCTTGGTTTTCTTGTTCTTATGTTTTATATTTCACTTTCAGTCTCTTGTTAGCTCCCATGGCAAACCCCAGATCCGGTGTTCCGGATATCGTTTTGTTTAAGGTTAAACCCGGATCTGGTGACCCGGCGATTAGTTTGTTTTTACTTATTTTCTGGTTACAAGAAAAGCCTATTAGCTGGTTTAAGTTAATAACTAAAACAATGAAGTCTATGTTTTTTTTATTAGTTTTTAACTTTAATCTTTTGTGAAAAAAATTATATGGATTTTTTCTTTCTTTCTTTCTATTGAGACTACTCTAGCATTCGATTCTTGTTTTTTTTTTTCTAAATCATAAATTTCTTTTTTTTCTTTTTTAAATCATGAATTGAACTATTAATTGCTAGGTAGTTTTGTTTATCTCCTTAAGTATGGATGTTATAAAGCCCTTCAAGCTTATTTCGAGCCCATTCCGAGTTGGCTCTGTTTTTGTTTTTTCTTTAAACAAAACGACAGAGTTTAGTTCTAGGTTTTTTGTAAACGACAAAAATATTGTTTTCTCCTCTTTCTCAGTTCCTCTGGCCGCAAATATCGATTCACTGTCGCAAAATCGATTCACGAAGACTCAGAGAGCCATCCTTCGACAACGTGAGAAGAGAAACGAGATCCTTCGCACCGAAGCTGGATCTCTTCGCAGCTGGATCTCTTCGCAGCTGGATCTCTCCGCCGGATCTCTCGCCGGAATCCACTCCTCTTTGATCTTCTCACTCCACTCCACTCCTCTTTGATCTCTCCGCCGGCTGTCTTCTTCTCTCTCGTGCGTGGGTTTAGGTGTTACGATTGAATTAGCTGCGACCATTGTTTGAGAGGTAAGACTCATGGGTTTGATTATTGGATTTGATTTCTCCTTTAGTCATTGAAATCTCGAAGTGGGTTTCAGGTGTTACGGATTGAAATCGCTGCAACCACTGTTTGAGAGGTATGATATATCTCTAATTCATGATTTTGTATTGAGTTTATGTGTACCAATGGAGACGAGTGTTGTGGCTTTGTTTGATTTCGTGTTTCTAATGCTTATAGGCTATTATCGTTTTTGATGTTTGATTTTGTATTGAGTTGATCTGTTTCACCATCTAAAGCTGCCATTGTTTGATGTTTGATCTGTTTCACCATTTAAAGCTGCCATTGTGTGTTTAGTTCTGTGGCTTCTTCGTTAGTGTTTAGTCTTTTTAAGTGTGTCAGTGCACCAAACTAGCTTTAGATGAAACTTACTTTCTTTGGTTTACTGATTACTGGGATTTCAAGTAGACATGAATCTTGAGCTCTAAGCGGCTAATGCACCAACTTAACTTTAGATGAAATTGCTTGGATTTTGGCCTAACTCTGTCTCTATTGTGGTACTAAAGATCTCTAGTTAGTGCATGAGCGCAGGCTTCTCTTGATATTTGGATGCGCCTGCAAAAAAAAACATAGTTGTTCACTAGAGATCTCTTAAAATTTTCAAAATCTCTAAGATAATGAGAACTTGATCATCTCCTTAACCACAAGATTTCAAGTGAGGTTTTAACCACAAGATCATCCACTTTGTTCACTAGCTTTTTAAGTGTGTTCTGGAAATCTGAGAGTTCCTTCCTTTAATGAAACCCCTGTTATATGACTTTTTTGAGTTTGATTTGTCTGCAACGAAGCATGTAAATCCAGGAACAGCTTTGCTTCTGTTTGTGAATATCTTTCTCTCTTTTTTGTTCTATAAATTTGAGTCTGTTTTGGCCTCATTTCTTTTACTGAATAATTTGATTTAGTCAGCTAAAATTAGTCTGAATTTCTTACGCAGCTTTGCTTGTAATGTCTGTTCGAGTTTGGTTGACTCCACCATGGTTTATGGTACATTATCATCATGTGCATGTTGCATTATCATTCAAGATAGTGTCTTGTGAACTCTAGTGTCTAGTGTCTTTCATGTTTCTTGGGAACTCTAGTGTCTAGTTGTAAATTTGACGTTTACACAATTTGATTAAATAATCTCTTCTGGTTCAACGTAGAGAAGACTGATTGTTGTTATTAAGATTTTTGGAGTTTATGTTTGGTAATGATGTTGGATCCTTAATTGTCATAACATAGGCTTTGGTTCTTATAAAAAAAAATTAATTTCATGAAAATGAAAATTTATAAATGTCAAATATAATAATTTGAAATTTCTTTGGTTATAAATATATATTTGATCAATAATTAAAATTAATATGGTTAAGATTAAGGATTAAAATATTATTAGATGAAAACATGGGCATTTTAGTAATTTTTCTTCTCAAAAACATCTAAATGAGAATGGTTGTCAACCAAACAAACAAAGTTTTAAGCAAAAGCATTTAGATGGACCATTCAGATGAACTACCAAAAATAGAAACGAACATCATTCAGATGGATTAGTCAGATGGAGCATTTGGATGGATCATTTGGATGCATATCCCAAATGAGCAAACAAACAGCACCTCACTGTCGCAAAATCGATTCACGAAGATTCATATTTCACATTCTCTTCAAGTTCTGATAGGCTTAAGTAAGGTTCAATCTATCTTTGTATGACTAATTTCTTCTTACACTTGTCTAAAATCCATCCTTATGATTCAAATTTGTGTGATTTTAAAGCTATGAATACTATGATATTTTTTTAATAAATGTAGTATCTAATTCGACTATATTCACGTGTATGAAATTATTGCCAAGTATGATACATTAATTTTTTATAGTGCTTTAGTGAATCGTATCGGTTTATGTTTGCTGAAGTATTGATAAATTAGTTCTTCATATTTTTAGTAGTTCAATATATCTTCTCATCTAAAATTGTTCATTTATTTGTTTTTGCAGGGGCTTATTAGATCGTTTACCATGGATTACCCAAAGAGAAGTAGATCTTCTGATGACGATTCTCACGATTTCAAGAGACAAAGAATAGCTGATCCCGGTAGACCTAGCAAATCTTTCACGCTGGAGAATGGGCTCAAAGTCTTTGTATTTAGCGGCGGCGAAGAATCATCGGCTGCGATGACTGTTCGAGTCGGTTCCTTCGCAGATCCTCCCAAAATTCCAGGGCTCGCGCATGTAATCGAACACATGCTTTTTCGCGGTTCTCAAAAATTCAGGGGCGAAAATGAGGTAAGTAAATTCAACATTCAATGATTTAAATGTTGTTCTTAATCTCGTTGTTTTTTCTAAATTTCATTTCACTTTGTATTGCAGCTACAAGATTATGTGGCTAAGTATGATGGCGGTACTAATGCCCGTACTGAATTTGATCATACAACATTCAGCTTTGAAGTCGATCCAGAACACTTTCATGGTGCCCTTGATAGGTAGGTTTTTTTGTCAATTCAATTCATTCAACCCTTCCTGTAAGTATGTATATTTTCTCACCAGAAAAATTTGTGTGCCAGGTTTGCCCACCTTTTCATCAATCCTCTCATGGAACCAAAGAGGTTGGAACATGAGATCGATACCGTGGATTCTGGTACCAATACTCTACAAACCGTATTCAATCAATTAATCCAAGTGCGACGAATATGTCCGAGTTACCTACTTTATTTTTTGTTTTTGTTTTTGGCTTCAGAATTTCTCTTGATCAAGTACAGTGATGCTGATCGACTTGATCAAATCCTCGCTCACACATCTTATGAGGATCATCCCTTCAAATGTTTTTCTTGGGGCAACAGAGATACTCTCACCAAAGTTCCCCTTGCTTCTCTCCGAGAATCAGCATTGGACTTTTTCAATACTCATTATCGAGCTTCTTCAATGATCCTTGTGATTGTCCTAGGATCAGGATCAGGTAATGATGCTTTTTTTTTTTTTTTTCCAAGTATCTTCTTGATTTTGATCTAAACTTTGTCTATCTCAATTGCAGGCGACTTAGATAAAATTCAGTCTTCGGTGACTGAATTTTTTAGGGATATTCCTAAAGGAATATCTCCGTATACACCAGAAATCAGCCGACCATGGGACTCGGGTAAAACTTATTTCCTTCAATCTGTTGAGAATAATCAGAGAGTGATGATTACTTGGAGAATTCCTCGGGAATCCCATCAACAAAACAAGGTCGCAAAATATGTTATGCAACTATTCTCCGAAGGTAAAGAAATATTTTTTATGGTTTGGGAGTTGATTATTTTGGTAGGTTTTGAACCAGTCAAGGTGTTCATTTCTTTTTTGCAGAGAGAGAAGGATCTTTGTCCTTCTTTTTGAAGGAAAAAGGATGGATTTGGTCGTTGGAGGTTTATACTGGTGGAAACAACGGTTTTTCAGCTGATGATGAAGACCCCTCAGCTTACTCTTCCACCTCTTTTGGGCAACTGTTTATGCTGGTTTTGGAACTCACCAACGAAGGTTTGGAACAGGTATACTCTTAAGCTCCTGTTTGTTATGTATGATGAAGATCCCTCAGCTTTCTCATCATTATTTTCTTTTGTTAAATGACAGGAATATGTACTCATCAATCATGTATACGAGTATCTCCGTTTTCTTAGCCTGAACACTCCTCCTCCATATCTTATGAAAGAACAAAAGGATTTACAAGATATGAGATTCCGTTTTCTATACAGTGATGACCGGTTGATTGATTCTTTACATGTGTTTGCTGATCGTCTGTCAGGTTTGCTGATCATACATCATAATTGATCATATTTCATAATGAACACTATTTGTTAATATATGTTCATTTAACTGTTTAAATGTTTTTGAACAGCTAACATGCTCTGGTGTGATGCTGATCATGCTTTGAGTCAATGTTTTTCTGATCCTACATGTGATCATAGTGAGATCAATGGCTTTATAAAAGAATTTTTTACTCCTGCGAATATGAGGATGTATTGTCTTGTAAAGACATTACCGGAAAAAGAAGGTATAATTTTTTTGAATGCTATATATTTCCACAATATTTATGAATGCTATATATGCTTATTTGTTTTCTTCTATTTTCAGTTCCTCAAATTGAGCCATGGTTTGGAACCTCTTACATAGAAAAGGAAATTCCCGAATCTTGTATTGAGGATTGGGTGGGTAGTCGTTTTTCTTTCCCTCCTGAAAACTTGTTTATGCCATCAAATGAGAATCTGCATGGCAAGTTAGGTAGTGATGATGAAAATGATGAGGAGCATGACTCGGCTAGCGAAGATAGAGATAATGAGAGCGTTGAGATGGATGATGAGGAGATGCATGACTCGGCTGGCGAAGATAGCGAAGATGGAGATAGTGATGTTGACAACACGATTAAGATTAGCAACACTATCTACTATCTCTCTGGTAATAGCTCCATTTCTGCTGCATACTTCTATCTCTCTATGCCTGCAGACCATACCATGAACCTGATTCTTGTGGAGTTACTAAAGTACTCACTCTGTCCCCTCCAGTTTACTGAAAGTGGTTTTAACATTCCCTTTCTGACTCAAGTTTGTTTAAGATAATTATTATAATAGGTCTCTTTTTGTATGCAGGGGCGCATGGCTTACATAGATTGCCGAGTATCTCTACTTGATGGAAACAAATTGTTGTTGCAATTTGATGGATTACACGAGAAGTTTAAGGACTTCATATCAAAAATTTGGGATAAAATCAAATCGTTCAAGCCGATACAGCAACATTTTAAGGTATGTTTTTGCATATTGTTTTTGAATCATTCAGTTCTTTTAACCAATCTCACTTTACATATCACAGGTGATCAAAGAGAAACTTCTCTTGGAGTTGCATCCCAGAGACATATCGGAACATGCCAAGCAGCTATTCATGGAGTCATTAGTAGAAGAGAAGTGCAAGCCAGTGGCACTTGATGGAGTCACCTTCTCTGACATACAGGAATACGCTGCTGACTTTTCCTCCAATCTGCGTGTACACTGTGGCGTCATTTTTGGTTCTATATCAGAAGAAACGGCCAAGGATATTGCAAACCTTTTGGACCAACCTTCTCTCCTGTTGGACCAACCTTCTCTTGCCATTAACACTAATGTGATGGCGCTTCGTGTTGAAAGAACAGAAGACATACCAAGGAATGCTTTTGATCGCAATTCGTTGACAATGGTAAGTATTTCGATTCTAATTTCTTCTCAAGATTTATGAAATACTCGACATAGTGAGGAATGCTTCTGCGTTTTGTGCAGGTGGTATATGAAATACCTTGCATAGGATTGTCAAGTTTCTTCTCCTCTTTGATGGCATATGGATTTGAACGTCAACTCAAGTTCGATTACTTCTATTTGATTTTTTTTTCTCGTGATATATTTGTTATCTGTTTGAGCTGAGAGCTTCTTTCCTTTGTCTCCAGGATTGTAGAAAATCTGGGGTACCAGGTTGATTGCAGCCCCCAAACAGAAGGCATTAGAGGCATATGCTTTTCGGTTATTTCTCCTCAATATAAACCACATTATTTGTTGGATAGGATATACTCGTTCATCCGTGAATTCAAGGTAAGACTTTCGTGTGACTTCGTTTAAAATACATTCATGAATGAAGAGGACACTTTTGCCAATCTCAAAAAACTTAATTTCACGGATACATTCATGAACGTTTTGTATTAAATTTGTAGATTGAAGAGAACTCTTTTGCCAAGTACAAAGAACTTGCAATAAACTCCTTGGCTGAGGGATCTTCCATATGGCACGTTTTGCTCAGCAATGAGTACTCAGCTCTCTTAGACGCGAGAGGAAGACTTGCTTCACTTACTATTGAAGAGGCTCGCCGGAGCTACGATCGGTTGTTTCTATCTACTAGCTCTCGAAAGAGGGTTGAAGTGTGCATCTCCTCTCCTACTGGGGATATTAACTATTAGAAATGGGGATATTACCGACTCTTGAAGCAGCCTTTTTGTCTACCTTTTTGATGCGGAAGCATGCTTTTGTAACTAGTTAGAGTTTCTAACTTATTGATGGTTCTGTACTTCTGTACCTGTCATAGCTAGCTAAAACATGATGATATGCTAGCTAAAACATGATGATATGCTAGCTTATTTAGCTTCTGGGTCTGTAAAGATTGCTAGATGTAAAACTCCATGAAAAACTAGCTTATCCATGCCTTTGTCTCAGGTTTTGTTGTTTTTGTTCGACTCTGTTTCTATTTTTTGCAGGTTTACATAAACCGATTTATGCAGGTTTCAATTTTTTTGGTATTAATAAACCGAAATTTTGCAGGTCTTCAATTGATTTCGGTTTAAATAAACCGATTTCTCCATGATTTCAATTTTAATCGGAACTCTTAAAATACCTCATAACCGACCCGATTGAACCGTATACCATTTGATTAATTTCGGTTAAAATCGGCTAGAATTCTTAGAAACCGAATTTAAGCTTAACCGAATAATCCGACCTGTTTGAACCGATTATTCCGTAAGCCCAGGGTGACTATTCTGAATCTTTTAGTAATGGATGTTTTTAAAAAGACACTGATTTTAATCTTTCTCAATTTTTAATATCATCAATATCATCTTCTCAACTTCTTCCAAACCCAAAAGAACAGACTCATCGATTTTGGTACTCTAGTAGAGAAGCAACTTGACAAGGAAAACATTGGCAAAACGAGGCATTACATCAACTCATCTTCAAGTTAAAAAGGCTACGCATTAATTGAACAAATATGATGGAATACTAAGGAGTAAGGCAAGGCAACAAAGAGGGAAGAGAACATGTGTCTTTCTTTCAGTCAGCAATTTCATTAAAACTACATTTCGTATAGGATGATAAGCTGAGTATTGTATCTTTATCTTTAAAATATTAAAAGAAAATAAAATCTTTCTTCAGTCTGCAATTTCTACCTCTGATACCAACATTCCAACAATATGAAAATTGCCATACACCGTTACGGCTACCTATGAAATGAAACAGAGTTAAACGTCCGTAAGGATGCACGTGCTTACGATATAAGATTATCAAACTAATGCCAGCCCTTATTGATGTCAAATCTATTGGTCGGTAGGATCCAAGTGGACAGTAAAGTAATTGTTTTCATTGTGAAATTCATGTATTTTTCCTTGCTCCTGAAAACTAGTATTGACCTTAAAAAAAGGCTCTGTTTTACATGGTCAACTTACCGTGTCATTCTTAATTACAGCATTCTCACAGAGTACTTGGCACTCACTTCAACTTCATGCCTTCGAATGCGTCTCCATATGTACCAGTGATTACATACCTCCTTCCTGAGCTATCAGATATAGCTGCAGCGTTTACATATAGGTTTAGATATCCAGTTTATTATTTAGAAACGAAATATGACATGAACATTGTTGATAACCTGAGTTTGAAGAATGTAGAGGTCAAAGCGATCATCATACATCAACACAACTGCTTCCATATTCTGATGCAACCACTGGTATAGAGCTCTACCTACTAGTAGAAATGAAATCTCTGTCCATGAGAGATGAATTGTAAGGTGGAAGAACTAAACACAAAGGAAGGGTTATTCTTTTACCTCATTAAGTAGTTTTTGGAGCGCTCTACTAGAAAGGTTAAAGATATCTAGTCCTCCACTGTTCATTTCATTTGAAAACTTGCTGTCTACAGAAACGAGATCTAGATGGATGCTACCGACCCCATCTGCTTAAGTTATAATGAAGTCTTCCAAAATGGCAACTCCGTGAGTGCGAAACAAGGCTAAGGTCGTACCACGATCAAATTTTCGGGATAATTTGATGGCTCAATAAAAGGTTCCCACAAGACCTTCGACATATATCCACGGGTAATTATCAGCAACTATCAAAACAGATAATGACAGCAGAATTCTGTGTCTGGCATGTACCTTGTGCATATTTTATAATTCACTTCAAGATCACATGAAACCAAACTCTCCTCCTTCTTCGCGGTCAGATTAGCTTGCAGCAGAAAGTTTCTCATAAGAACTTCAAGAAGCAGACCGCTACATCCCCACTGCATGAAAGTCAAGAGACAAGAGAAGTCTTTAACAGAAGTAGCTTAAGAATTCAAGCTGAAGTATCCCATATAAAATGCAAAAGCTGTAGGCAAGGAGAATATGGACAATCATGGAGCAAAACGTATTCCAGACACTCAACATTAAGACTAAAAAATATATTCTAGACAATGGACCACATATCAACCTTGGATATATATTTGAAACCAAACCAAAACTCACACATCAAATTAAGTTTTTCATCAGTGAAGAAAAAAATACGAAGATGTAGCACTAGATCCATAAGCCGACATAAACTGATCACAAAGAACGAACACCTACAGTACAAGGCATAGAGAGCCACACTATCTGCAAACGCAGCATTGATGAACGTAAAAGTGAGATCAACAAAGTAGTGCGTTCATAAAAACATTATATTAGCCTGCAGATATCAGTATATAAAGCAGAAGCATACCCTTCCATCTGATATAAGAAGAGACACATCTCTTATCTGGACTTTTGTACTCATGTTTCCTTGCAAATTTTGTGAAGATGGCGCGTCTCAGGTGCATCAAATGCAACTCCATGCCAGAAAGATGATACTTTATGAGATGCATGCATCTCTACATTGTCAGACAGTATCCCTGCATCTATGCACATGATTTTCTTCTGATCCATATGAATACAAGTAGTTGTGACACCCCAAATAGAGGAAAATACCTGACAGTATCAACCCCCGGATATTATGAGCATCCATCCCCTGTCCATAGGCAGAGTACGATTTCAGTAGATTCCCAGATGAACACAAAATATGACCGTCTGCATCTTTAGAGGAGCAAGCTTTTATTTCCAATGTTTTCACACGGACCGACCACTCTTCAACTTTGGTAAGTGAATACCTGAAAATGACGAGTGTACAAGATAACTTGTCAGAACCCCCAGTGGTAGAATACGTAAATCGACAACCAAGAAAAAAAAGACAATTGGATGAGTGTGGTTTTGACAACGGCATCAGTAGATGAGTCACAGGCAGTGATCGTAAGACCAAATATGTGTATGATAGGAAGCATAGGAACATATTCAACTGCTTGGCAAAACAAGCAGACACCACCGTGGTAGATATAAATGTACAGCAAAAGAAACACTGCATTCACGTTTGTATAATAACAGAAGGTTAACTAGCCACTAATACTGTAAAAAGTCACAAAATGAGCTCCTTTATCGTTGCAACAATTACCTACCAGAGATCCAGCTGTTGAATAGAAAGAACAAGCACTGTGCTATTTTCTCCTTCATTTTCAAGGTTGACGTGCAACCTGAAAAGTACCAAGTTGGTATCGACGGTGAAACGAAAGATGGGAACGGGGTCAATTGGAGCATTTCGATCTCCATGATCCTGAGTATCAAGACATTCAATCACAGACATGATTCCTTCAAATATCGACGGAGAGAAATGCACATTGATCACAGACAGAGTAGCTTCAACCTGAAATGTTAAAAAGAAAATAAAATCTTTCTTCAGTCTGCAATTTCTACCTCTGATACCGACATTCCAACAATATAAAAATTCCATTACACCGTTACGGCTACCTATGAAAATGAAACAGAGTTAAACGTCCGTAAGGATGCACGTGCTTACGATATAAGTTTTTCAAACTAATGCCAGCCCTTATTGATATATGCTTTCTAAATCATCATCTCCATACCACTACTCATTCTTAGAACACAACAAAATGATGAACTACCTCATAATATGCTCCCTAATGGACTTATATCATGTGAAATGACTTCTAAAAACCATCTCCTAACCATTATCCATTTATATACATGTTGAAGTAGAATAAAGGACAAAACAAATAGGAATGACAAGCCACGTAATGATATGCTCCTTAAGTTATTAAATCATATACAAGATGATGAGAATTTCTATGCTCTACACTGAATCCAACAGGCTAGGTTAGGCGATCTCCTGCAGCTAGACAAATAGGAGGACAAGGAGCCACACAATGAACAAACCCATGAAAATTCTTGCCTGTTCTCTGCGAAGGAAATCTAGCTTTTTCTTGTACAAGTTTATATACCTCCTCCGCATTTTCCTGTAATTTTTTCCAAAACAAAAATCTGAATACTAAGCAGATTGCTTGAATATATTGCGGGAGTATTTGTCGACTTAAGCCAAGAAACAATAAGCTGTTTGCGTGGAAATAAATTATGCAGAATTTTTAAGAGCATTGGAAAAATTGTAACTAGTATATGATTAATCATCACATCATCTAATTAAGAAAAAGATGGGAAGAAAGTAAGCTTACTTGATTTAAGAATGTATTGAAAGTTTCCACAGTTTTTTCCGTACATCAGCTATAATTGATTTTTGGGCATAATGCTACCAAAGTTTAATTCTGCCATCATGGTGGTTTCCTCGATAAGGAAGTGGAGCAGGAACGATACCGCCCATACCTAAACCATTCAATACATTCTTAAATCAAGATTTCTTCAAAACGTTCCATAGTGTCATATAGTAGAGCTAAATCTCAGAATAATAAAAGTTTGAATGGAGGAAAAACTATCCTACCCCTAATAAAAGGCTTAACTCTCACGCAATTGGCTAGTTTGCAATTAATCTAACAGAAATAAGAATCTGGTGCAATTGAAATCCATTCAGACTCATGACCTGAAACGCATAAGTGGAAGTTAGAACGAGCCATGAAATTGTAAATTAATCTTAGCTCTGAACCTAGTTTAGCAATTTGGGAACTAACCACATCAGTCAACTCACTGCTGATGGAATACTAAGGTAGATCGTCATAAAGCTCTCCAGATCGATTGGCCTATGCAAAGAAGTGCATCAGGCAAAATGAAGGATGCATATTTACACACACAACAGAAATGCAACCAAGCAACAGCATGCATACACCAGTGTTCGTTCTGTATAAATATTGTATCTTTGATCAGATAGCTGCAAACAGCTTCCACTAAATATAATGTCAATATGGGAGGTGACGGTGAACAATAATAGAATTGGCAAAATGCAATGCAAATCATTCATGGTACACTGATTACTGATAGATAGGAATGTCATCAAAAGTGCACTACTGGAAAATAAGTTCAGCCTAGAACTATGTGCTTAGTCAAAAAGATTTGCTTCTACAAGATCAATCAGCTGAATCCTAATTTTTTAGGCCATCAGGTAAATGAAGTAATAGACTCGCTACAGCAGATATAACATACAATTGTGTGCACCTCATTTTTAATATAACCCTAAAGATAGAGCAACCATGCAAAGCTTCGATGGTAAGGACAGATGTTAAAACACAGCAACAACGCTCCATCACCAATAGTGTTACACAAACATAGACTGGCTTCAGTAAATAACCAAATTTATCGCTTTGCAATCTCGATTGGCACCAGTTTGTCAAAACCTCCTTTTTTATCAACACCCAGAAAGTCCATGTTTCCCTCATAGATGTCGCAATAAATTTCCAAAGCTTCGATCCACAAGTTTATTCACTTGCCCCCCTCTCATCCTACCAACTGATGACCTGATATTCAACATAGACGCCATGTCAAGGTATCTCAGGTGCGCACATATAAACCACAGATCTTGGCTTCACCAAACAAAAAATTAGTTCATGGAGAAACCGGCTTCAACGGAGGTTTATTAGTAAGTAAAGAGGTATGTGGGTGTAGTGGGATATGCTATTAGCTGTCTCACAATGTAATTCAAAACACAGCATTATCATAGAGTAAAGAAAAGCTACAAGGAAGCAAACACGAAAGTGTACTACTTTTTATTAAGTGCCATTGAAGGTGCATCAAGAGCTTACCCTACTGGGGTTTGTTTAGTAACTTTCAAGCTTGAAAACCGCAGTCCTAATACAACTTCTACCTGCAGACAGCAGTTTACAGACAAACATATGAAAAAGGGAAAGAAGACAACACCAAATGATAATTCAAATCATAACTCTAGTGAATCGCAAGATAGACTGATAGTAGTTTAGCATAAACTTGATGCTACCTAAATTTGTATCCTCCAATGATAATTACTATGCCCTCAGGCCTAAACCAAGACTACATTAAGATTATAGATGTATATACAAGTTTCCCTGCTAATGGAGAATACAGAGTTACAAGCCTATATTTAACTAATTAAACTGAAAAAGCAGGAGACTTAGCGATTCAGGTTGTGCATCAGAGTATAAGATGTGGAAGTTTCTGATGGACAGTTGAATGCTATCAAGAATCTAAGCCAATAGAGAAGGAAAGTTGACATAGTAGAAAGGAGCGAAGACATGATTGATAACCTCATCCACAAGCAAGAAGATTTAAACTTACTCAAAAATCAGCATCAGACCAAACATAATGCAAAACTGTAAGATGCTTAAACTAAGGATAATGTAAAAAATGTAAGACGTTTAAACTAAAGGTAGCATTGCAGAACATAATGTCACCTTGGCTGCAATATATGACATACTAAAAGGATTCCCTGCTGGACTATCTGGAAAAAACAGAAAAATTGAAGGATCTGACCAAATATTATATAGGAGCAATCTTTAGAGATTAACTAATTAGTGCAATGTAACAGAATCCAAGACTACACAGAGTAGGACAGAAAGTATTTTGCTCACCAAAGATACGCCTGGATAATTTTGCCAATTCTGCAGCAGCAAGCTTAGCCTTCTTACCAGCAAACTCTCTTTTCTCAACCACATCTGAAATCCACTGCAATGGCCATGGAAACATTTGGAAGTTAAGTATAAAGGCTTGTCCACTTTGATATAAGCTTTAAAAGTTGTCTATGAGTAGGCTCATCCAAATATTCGATTGCTGCCTGAAACTTCACAACACACCTCTTCTCTAAGCACTTCCACAGCTTCCGAGACTCCATCCTGCTGCTTTTGGAAATTGCCAGAAATTTACTCAAAACTACGAAAAGAGAAGACTAGGCTACATCGAAAAACTCCATGATTTTTTATTCTGCGCCATGATGAATCAGTACGAGAAAAAATTAAAATCTGATCGTCCAGTTACCTCAAGAATAATATTTCAGCGATTTCCACGGCACATGCTGTAGCTCTTGTAGACAGTGCATCGTAAATGGCTTTTTCTACCACTTATGCAGCTTCCATGATGTTCTCATCATTTGTTTCCTCCAGAAGCAGGTGGTATCTTTTCAATGGTTGAGGAGCAACACCAAGCCAAGACATCTTTTCTGCCCAATAGAACTGATCCAGCATAAATGGGCATATGATCTGTACACACACATATACATGCACATTATGTAGTCACTTTTTGGCATTATAACTTCCAGATTGACTCAAATGAACACCAAAACTAGTCTGTTAACCCAGAAGATGCAAGATAAAGCTTCAAGAAAAAGAGACCAAAAAACGGTAATCATCATTTGTAACCAACAGTGCACAAGACTTTGGTTTATGAAAAGACTACATTAGGTTTATTGCAGCGTAACTAAAGAGCAGGCATGATTAAAGGACCATTGTACGTCGAATCTATTGACACAACATTCATTAACCGTACTAGTTAATTCTAACCTACTGATCCTTGTAGTAGTTTTACCATTTTATGTCAAGTTCGATACAAACACGTTTGTGGAACTAAAACAAATCTGTGGGATTCCAGCATGTAATGCTGCAGATGTAGAACCAAAATTTCCAGAGGTAGACATTTTCATAATAAAAACAAGAAACAATTATTGCATGAAAACTACCACTCGTTGAGTAGAAACAAAAAAAAAACAGACTCAAACACTCAATGGCCAATAAGTAACAGGTCACCTACCAATGCAATGTCATATGGTTTTTAAATTAATATCAGTATCATATTGCAACTAAACTACTACAAGTTTTAAAAAGGTGCTTAGATTTAATCAGAGATCAGCCAGTGCCGGACTTATAAAATGAGAAAAGTACATTAAATGGGTCAAGTAATAAGAAAATACAAACTATATGAAGATATAATCTGAACGGGAAGACAGATTGCAAAGTGAATCAGATGTTACCACCAAGAGAATTTACAACTCACTAGACCAAGGGAGATGGTGGCCGAATATGTCAAATCGGTAGATCCTGCACCAAATGAGCATGTCGGGTGACAGTTCACACTATCATTTCTTGCAATAAACTGTAACCTTCTGTTTGAAAAACGCCTACCGCAAAAGGGTAAAAGCTTAGGTTGAGTTCCTCGTATTGCCATGATCCCCATTCTTCAGTAAATAGAGGGCCGCATCCAATGAGTTACATCACTCCAGCTAACCTGGAAAAACATACAAACTATAATAATTCAGGAGTTTAATGACGACATGTTTGTATTACAATCATATGGAATAGTTTGCCGAGGGGGGCTTCTTTCAAGTACTTGTACAGCCCCGGGAGTTCCTTCCTAAACTGTCTTTCAAAGCCTGACGGTGGGCTGTAAAAAAAAGAAGAACTGAAAGTGGTCATCTTTCATATCCAGGATGTTATGTCACATTCATACACAGATTCATACTTCCAAGCTAAGAAGTTTACCTATACGGAAAAACAAAAGGAGCCGCCACTACACAGTGGAAATATAAGAATTCTGCAAACCGATCCTCCTTGCCTGATTTTCTTATTTTGAGCAGCAAAGGAGTAATCCCCTGCTCATCACGGGGTAGATTCTGGAGTTCATTTCAAATCTGGTATTCAGATAATGAAAGAAACAAAAATGGAAAACAGATTTGCAGTCACCAAATGCTATATATGATATCAGCTTACCTTGTCAGGATCAGTATTTTCCACGAAAACAGCTCCCATTATAACCAAGCCGTGCATGCCTTTTAATATGCTTCACGGACGGACAATATCCGTAAAAGTAACCATCCACTCATCTGAATCGATTGTGCTAGAGGTCTTATTTGTCTGCAGAGCAAAGACAATAATAGCTGCTCACAAGGTATAGATAATCACATCAAATTAGTATCTCGGATATTACTAATGGTAAGAGAATAACAGATATTATTACTAGAGAAGAAGGAAACAATGAAACGAATCAGTAAGCTCTTGCCAAAAGTAATTTGATTCAAATTTTGCCACACAGGGTCGTGCGTTTCAAAATTGTGACATATACTAGAATATGCTACGGTAGAACACGGACACTGATGTAACTACTTGGCTCAAAGTGCACGTGCTTCTTTAGGTATATACTCTATTTTTGATAATGATGATATATGTTATGCCCGTGAAGTAGAGATCATTGGAAATAAAAGAAATATGTTCAAAATGAAATACTAGAGAAAGAAGGTATAATAAGATTACCTCTTCTTCAGGTTTCTGAAAACATGACCAGAGCAAGTACAATTGGGTTGGTGCCCCTCAGATATTGCATACAAACTCAGTGAGGAATCTGCTTTCAGGTGTACTCTCACGATTGGACGGATCTAAAGAATCTAAAAGCTTTGCTTTCAAAACATCCCAGTACAGACTTGTCAAAATCCACGACAACTTGCTGTATTGGATACCTATATAACAGCTATGGTGCAGTGTAAAGTGAAATGGAATAGAGATCTTTTCAAATGACTAGTCTTACCTAGCAGAAGATTCTGAAGTTCCAACATCAGGAACCGGAGTTTTGAACAGGGAAAATACTTGGTCACCAGCCAGAGATGCATGCCAAGCAAGTAGTACACTTGCAAGAAGACTCTCCCCGAGAAAGATACGCTCCCCTGATGGTGATGTTGCCCAACTCCCAAAAGGATTCCTACAGATAGAGAAACCAAGAAACAAGCAGGATTAACACAATATTCCTACGTGAAGCGCTATGTTGGGTTAACTAATACATTGCTGATGAAACCTTTGATATGGTCAAGAAGAAGAACAAAGTAGCTTTGGTGCATCTAGCTAACATGACTAACCTCTGATTCCTGGCAGCCGAATGCACAATGATAGAGAAACAACATGTCCAAGCCATTGGTAAAACCATTCCCCGAGCCCAATCTCTACATCACCAGAAGAAGAATAAAAACTGAAAATTAAACTGGAATCCAGAGCATAGTTGCAACAAAGCTTAGCTGGGCAGAGATAAGCTTGTAGAGGACAATGAATTTTCATGTAAGATTTGAAAAGAAGCATCAGTTACATTCATTATTTCAAAACAAAAAACGCCGGCTCCAGGAAGACAAGTAAAACAGACGAATAACAACAACATGAGCTAGAGTGAAAATTATAAGATTAGAAATAGGATTGGGACCCTCTCTCTCTCTCTCTCTCTCGAAGCGGACTGGGGTTGTGCTTACCTGAAAGAGTTTCTGTCAAGAAAAGTGTCAAGTTCCGATTGATTCAAATTAGCGACCAAAGGAGTTGGCTGGCTATCGATCTGTATATTAATCCCTGAGGTCGAGAGTGAGTTCGAATTTCACGATTTATTCTGACTGATGGGGTATCCTTGGAAATGCTCAGTTTTTATTTTGTCCCAGCCACATTCGGTTTCGGTTATAACTTTCTTTAGTGGCTTTTGATCCCCCTGGTACTCGTCCTTGTATAGATATGGCGAGAATGGTGGTACGTATTACCTTTGTGATCGATTCTTTCTTCTTGTTAAAACCAAGATCGCGAATCTATACAACAGCACAGACGTAATAAAAGATATATCAGGGGAAGCAAAATCAATCTGAAATTGGTCAAGAGCTTAATGGTAAAATCTTGCTCAATTATTTCCTAAAACAAGCCATAATTATTTGGGAGTATAAGGGGGAATTCTTTTCTTTGTTTGGGAATATCCAAGCAAAAAGAATACGAAAAGTGAAACTTGATATTTTTCTTCTTCTTTTCCTTTTCTCAAGTTTGTTGGCTATATACTTTTGGGGGTTGCCGGATTTTTCAGCCCCTAACTAGTTGCAAACTCAAGGAATCCCCCTATACTTTTTTGCTCTTAAAAAACCACCAACAACTAACAATTTCCTTAATAAAACGTCCTCAATTTTCGGATTCATCTTGATTAATACGCCTCCAATTGAACCGGCCATTAAACCGGGTTTAACCACAAATCCGCATTTATTGTACCGCGATTAGGATTACCCGCATGATTACCCATGACCCGAGAGTTAAAACGACGTCGTTTTGACTCGTTCTCAAAACAAAGCCAAAACGACGTCGTTTTCTCTATTCTCTCTATTTTTCAAAATCTCTATTCCTCTACTACGATGTTCTGAAATCTATCGAGAAATTTCACTTTTCCCAAAACCTTAGCCATAGCATTATAAGTTTTCTCATCATGCTTAAAGAGACCAGACTCATCAATCCACCGGAAGAACAACAAAGCTTTCCTAGGTTCAACATCAAGACTTTCCACAATCATCTTCACTAAATCACTCTTAAACTCAACATTCAAATCTCTCACCCGTTTCTCCACATCATCGCCCCACTCTTCCTTCATCACAATCTTACACACCCTATCGCAAACATTCTCCGCCGAATTATCTAAACAATCTGAAGCAAAAAGCTTTCTCAGCCTCACCAAATCACTCTCCAGCCCATCTTTCTGAAATTTCTCACCTACTTTATCTCTAACATTAGCCGATAAGCCATGTCCTTTCTTCTTCATCACATCAACCAACCCCCAAAACTCATCGACAAGTCCATTAACACCCAGAATACGCAACATCATGTTATAATTCTTCGAGCTAAGTTCCTCAGGAGAAGCCTCCTTAATCCACTGGAAAAACCCTAACCCAGAAATCGCAAATCCCCTTTCCCTTTCTCTCAAGAACCCTAATTTTGAAATGAGTGAACCCTAATTCGCGATTTTGAGAAATAGAGAGAATAGAGAAAACGACGTCGTTTTGGCTTTGTTTTGAGACATAAAGAGACGAGTCAAAACGACGTCGTTTTAACTCTCGGGTCATGGGTAATCATGCGGGTAATCCTAATCGCGGTACAGTAAACGCGGATTTGTGGTAAAACCCGGTTTAATGGCCGGCTCAATTAGAGGCGTATGAATTAAGATGAATTCGAAAGTTGAAGACGTTTTATTAAGAAAATTGTTAGTTGTTGGTGGTTTTTTAAGAGCAAAAAAATATAGGGGGATTCCTTGAGTTTGCAACTAGTTAGGGGCTGAAAAATCCGGCAACCCTACTTTTGGCCACGTACACAAATAGTTACCAAGTGACAGGTTGGTTTATCAAAGACATAAATAACGCATGGCAAGTGTTTTAAGTTATAAAATATTTGAAAACATTATTTTCCCCGAGGGAGAAACGAGATTTGCTGACTTAATTAAATAGGTGGTGGATTCTATGGCTTTGATCCTCGCTATTCATCTTCTTCTTTCTTCTTTTCTAAAAGCATTGCGCTTGTGGAGAAGGAATCGCATCTTTGAACTTGATCGGAGCTGCTTATAGCTGTGTCATGTGAAAGAACATTCAACAATCATCACCAATTCACCATATATATATACACACACTACCTATAGAGAGATCTAATCAAAGTAAATGGAGACCTTGATCAGGCATAGAGGTAGTAGTAACATGAGACGAAACCTCTTCCTGCATGTTATAAAATTATAATTACAAGTTGGAATAAGGGGGTATTCAACCAAATATTCAAAGTGATTTGTGTTTTTATGAGTTTTTTTTATGATTTTATGGAAGTTGATAGTATTTATGGTAAATCCTTTCAAATCCCACCTAAAACCATCCTTTAAATCCTCTCAAATCCTTCAAAATCATTAAAAAAATCAAATCCACAAACTGTTTTCAATAACAATGGATTTTAAGATAGATTTTAAAATCCTTAGTTCAATAACACTAGATTTCATTAGACGTTTTAAAATTCATGATTAAATAACATGTGATTTGTACAATATTAGTTTCAATACAACCAAAATCAATAGTAAATAAAATAAATAAATAAATAAGCGCCTACCGATCCCTTGAGATGATCATCTGATGGGTTTTCTTCCATACGGGCAGAACAAGCTCGCAGTGAAGCTTTAGAGCCAAGTTCTGCCAATCTGTATATGAGATTGGCAACAACAACAACAACAATCACCATATGTATACATATACATTTGTTAGCTAAAGAGATCTAATCAAAGTAAATGGACACCTTGGTGGCGACTGATCAGGCATGGAGATGGAGGTAGTAGTAACATCAGACGACAACTTTTCCGGTTCCTGTTATAAGTTGTTGAAATTAAGAATCAAATCAATGAGTAATATAAGCCCTATATATATAGATGACAGAAATTTATCATCAATTCTAGTATAGATTTGCAATTAAAGGTAAAGAAAGTAGATTGTATAACCTGAGAATCAAATCCAGAGTCAAGCGACTGATTCAAACGATGCAGCAGTGCTCTCAAAGGAGAGCAATGGGATACCCAGGGATAGTTCTTCTTTCGATTTAAACGTTTAATGGTATTAGGACGAACACGGCCGAACCTTTTCTTCCCCATCATTGCTGCTGTGCTTTGTGCCTCCTAGACCTAAACGATTAGGGGACGCTGGAAACCCTAGAGCTAAATATATATATGTGTGTATATATGTATATATGTATATAGGAAATCAATTTACCAAGGTATCAAAGAAAATTACAAACAGAGAGAAAGATAAAGGAAAGCTTAAACGAAATCAGATGATAAATCAATTCGGAGACTCACAGAGCAAATCGTCGAAGACGAAGAAGATTAATGATGCATAAAGACAGTAAACACAAGAGATTATGAAAAACGTTTGATCTATTCAGAGTTGTTTCATTCTATAAAAGACCTATCTAAACCAGATCGATACGAAAAACAAACGGTACAAAAACTACAGAGACTCGTCGAAACAAACAACAATCAGATATGAATCATCAAAGGTTCTTTGATTGAGATAACAGAGCGATATAAACATAGATCAACAGCAGAACGCGATAATCTAAACATCAAAACGGAACAAAGAAGAATTTCATCGACGATCTACGAGAAGAAGAAGACTAACCTTGAAGAGAACGAAAGAGAGAGAGAAGAAAAGAGGTGCAAGGAGGCGTTAGAGCTTGTTTATATAGTGACCAACGAGATGCTCTCAGTACATCCCTTTGTTCTCGTTTTAGGGGTTTCCTTCTCTTAATGGGCTTTTATGGGCCTACACGCATCGGCCCAATATTATTACTGTTTGTTTAATCGTCTGATGGCAACCATCTTCTCCATGCATTATCGATTTTTTTCCCTTAAAACGTTTTATAAAAATTAAAATTTCAAATCCTTAATTGTAGGTAATCATTTAAGTTCAAATTATGTACCTTTTGAGCAAGATCACTAAGAGATTCTCCGATCAAGTCCATTACTATTCCTTTAGGGGTCTTGGACATCTTAATTCCGTCTCTAAGACATGATCCTAAAAGCAACATCATCCCCCGGGCACGAGCTCTTCAGCTCTAGCATCCAAGATTATTGGTGTCGATAGAGTATTGATCAAAATACGCTTTTTTACCGCTTGGTTGTACCCGGTGCACTGCATGTCTTTGTTCCACAAGGGAGAGTCACGGTCCATGATCCCTTTGGGGATTTTGGAGGTTAAATGGAATGTTTAACTCATGACTCCGATGTGGAAACTCTCCTTAGGAAGAACACAGTCGAGAAAGGAACCATGAATCCCACCCAGCGCTATAGTATCTTCTCCCTTGAGGAAGTGTTTGAAAGAGAGTGTTGAAATCGTTGATGCTAAAGTCATTGAAGAGAACTTGGAACTTGATGTTGTTTGCCGGGTTTTGTCCGGTTTCTCTACGGTATTTTTCTTCTACCGCATCAATTATGTTTTGGACTGACACAAAAGTATTAGGTCCACTCGCACAACCGAAGTCTGCTATACTGAACTGGTTGGAAATCAAATCGAGGTTGAGGTTCGCTGAGATCGCCTCGGTCATCTTTTCCTTTGCCACTTCTAGCAATGCTCTCTGTATAAAGACGAGACTGTTAAATACATATATTATAGGAATCAAGAACATAGCTAACTAGGAATATAATGCAAATCATTTATATATGAACCTGATACGAAGATTGTTGGTTATAACTCTCAGGACCTTCTCCTCCAATCGTGATCAATGTGGAGTATTAGTCATGATATCTCTCTTTATTCTTCTCACACTTCTTTTCTTGTTTGATACTTTGGTTTGTGATGAGAGTAGTGATAATCCATGAACTTCTCTACGCTATTTATAGTAATATTCCTTGTCCTTCAAAGAGCAATATAATGATAATAAAATACTAGATTTTAACCCGCGGTACACCGCGGGATGATTTATTTTTAAAATTTAGTATATATAAAATTTTGTAAATTGTATCTCTTTTTATAATTTACAATTATTATTAAGTAACGGTATACCACGAGTTCACGAGACAATTGTTGATAAACTGAAGATTTAACCCGAATTAAAACGGCATGTTCTTTTAAAACTTTTTAAATATTGATTCAAACCCGTCCACCATATAAACCCGTTTTGAAATATAACCCGTCCCGTGATTTGTTTTCTAAAAGTAGTGATTTTAAAATTTAATGATTATATATTATATATAAAAGTTTACAAAATGTATAATTTTCTAAGACATTTATATTTTAATAAATTGAGGATTTAGTCTGTATTAAAGCGGCATGTTAATGATATTTTAAAATTTTATAAATATTGATTTAACCTCGTCCATCATATAACCCCGTTCCGAAATATAACCCGTCATGTAATTTCTTAACCCGTCCCATGA